TGTAGAGAGGCTTGTGCAATGAAGGAGGTGCAGGGCAAACGGTTTGTCTAGGAGATAGAGAGCTGCTTCACTCAGGCAGAGAGAGAGACCACAGGCACAACATGCTGTCCCTGCCAGCGGGCAGATGGGGGGATGTGGGTATGAAACACGAAGGCAGGAAGAGCAGGTCGGAAGTATTGGTCTTGGTGCAGAGAGCCTGCACTGAAAGTGGCACCTTCAGGCAGCAGGGTTGCAGAGGAAGCCAGTCTGGCCTGAGATGCTGCTTCAAATCTTACAGTTCCCACCTCCTGGCCTTAGCCAGGTTCCCTGTCCAAGAATCAGGGTGGGATGTGCTGAAGATGGCCCTGGGGATGGGGGCAGGAACAGCTAGACCAGATGTGGAACGGCTTGGAGGTCAGAGCTGGAAACCCCATTTCTGAGCACATCTTCCTCAAACCAAAACGCAGCATCCCACACCCCTCCAGCCTTACTCCACCCTGCTCCCAGCTGCAAACTGCTTATGTCCAATTTTGTGTGCTAAAAATATCTTTCTGGGCAGTCAGCAAGTGCGCAACCAGATGGGAGAGGGCGAGTCTGAGAGCGAAGGGGAGTGGGGGTGTATTTGGGGTAGGTGTGGGCTGTAGCACAAGGCCAGACGGGCCTGGGCAGGCTGGGTGGGGGGCCGTGGGCTGGCTGGCACTGCAGACGGACATGCAGAGAGCCTTGCTTGGCGTGGGTCCATGCTTCTGGGTAGCGGGGCATGGCAGGGGGACACGCACAGATGGGCTCAGAAAGGTGGGGAGATGCTGGCTGTGTAGAGCAGGCAGCAGGTCCTGCTCCCTCCCCTGGAAAGAGGTTGCTGCAGCAGCCAGAGCAGAGGGAAAGGAGGGATGGTTATCCATGCCCCAGGCTCTGCCACAGCTCTGCCCAGCACGCAGAAGTGCCCTCCTGGGACCCCTGCACCCTGCCAGGCTTTCCCCGTCACTTCTCCATTCTCAGTCCACCTGTCCTGAGGGAGGCCAGGCCATGGGCAGGCCTGGCGGCCCCGTAAGCCACCTTGGGAGCAGAGATGGCAGCCTCGGGTGGGCAGTGCCATAAGAGGGAGTCCCTGCCCTGGCTGCTGCTGCCAACTGGGTGATGGCAAAGACGCCCCAATGCCACCCCTCTCCCAGGCCAGCACAGCTCCCTGCAGACCTCCCAGGTGTTTTGCTGGGCCCAAGGCAGACTGTGATAACCCATCATGACCAGGCTGTCACCCTGGAGGGATGCCTCTGCACCCCACTGCTACTGGGGCTCCCCTTACCCTCCTTCTGCCCATAGATCTGGGGTTCTCCTCCCTTGGGGAGTTGTGCTGTCGGGAACCAGGATGTCTGGGTTTTAACTTCACCTTGGGGAAGGGGCTGGAGAGTTCCTACGTTCAGAGTGGCATGGTGCATTGGCCTTTGTCCCCCTGATGGCACTGCAAGATCCCTGTGTGGAAGAAGGTTCAGGGCTGGTGGGGCTGGGCAGGTTGCTGAAGGGGTAAGGAAGACCACCCAGCAGGGCTCGGGGCTGGGCTGTAGCTGGGATCCCGTGGGCTTTTTCCAGCTCTCCCTGCCAGAATTACCTCTGGGCTCTGGCAGCGCAGGCTGCAGCCCTGACTGAGGCAGACGCTGCATCCTGGAGAGGAAGCAGCAGCATGTGGGGAGCCAGCCCCCCAGATCCCACAGGGTCATGCGCTGGTGCTGTGCAGGGAGCAGACCCCTGCCTGGCCATCCCGGGGCTGGATCTGACTGGGTTACCCTCCCTAGGCCTGATCCTGACCCACCACCTTCGTGATAACCCTGCTCTCAGCCCACCTCCATTGCCATGGCTGTGTCCGATGATTTGTAGGTATGCCCCACACTGGGCTCCCTCAAGGAAAGGTATAGGGTAGGGACAGGGATAAGCCCCAAATATATTTCTGTTATTTGTGAGGTCTGACATAGGAATAGACTTTACTGTAGGGGAATGTGGTGGATATGTTAGCAGTGCTTTCCATAAGGCCTGATGCTCAAAAGCCACAGCTAGTTCTCCTTTCCTTGTGGTTTTGTGGATGGTTTTGAGCCCTCAATGTTCTTCTCTATTAGAAGTAAAACTGATTGTAAATTGCAGGTGATTTCGTTTCTCTGTCTTCAGTCTGAAGGTCTGAGTCCTGTTAGTTCATTGATGATTGAACTGGACCTTCAGGAAGCAGCCCATTAATCATGTTTACAGTGATCAAATCAACTGCCTTGGGGCCTCAGCACCATTGAGAGGAAGGTATGTGGCTGGCTGGCTTTATTATGTGCAAAAATGTACACATCGGCTGTATGCTATAGCAGGAAATCTGTATTAGAAAGCATCTAAGATGCATTGAGACGGCTTTGTGAGACTTCGTCCTGCTGCAAAGGCTAGAGCAGCGTAGGCAGAGTATGCACAGCCCAAACGCGATGTGCTCTTGGAAGCGCCGTGAGTGGTCTCCCAGAGCTGTGTTATCCCAAAAGCGGGGTCGTTCGCCCGGTGTGCAGACGCCAGTTAACACACAGAGCCGAGCTATTTTATTCCTTTCGTATTTGCGCAAAGAGGGGTGCTGGGTGGCGGTTCCACAAATCTAGCACACCTTCGTACAAAACTACAGCGCATTTATCCTGCTATGCGGTTAGTATAAACCTGCCCAAATTTACACTTATGGGTTTATGATTAACATTTCAAACACTATTGGTTTACTGTATTTAAATTAGCCTCGCCTGCTGTGCAGATTAGCACACATGCTCCTTTCAGGTGTGGGGGGGCAAGTCTTTTTGGTCCTGAATTGAGTCGGTGGTTGCGATCCCCCCTCACCGCATTTACCTTTCACCACGTTACTGCAGTTTTATCAGACTTCATGTTTTTCTGGCCACCATCCAGTCTTTGGTGCCAAGATGTTCCCTTTTATCAGTCGAGTAGCTCTTCTTCAAGGGTATAGCTGTTAGTTTTCCCCAGTTCGTTAATTAAACAAATACTTTTTTATCCTTTAGCTCCTTCCCAGATTCCTTTCTCAGAGCACAGGTGGTTCGTATTTTTGCTCAGTGGAAAATTTTCACTTTCCGCAGGATATCAGCTGGAGCTCATCACCTCCCGTTGATCATGCCATGCCGAGTTTGGATTCACGAGTTGCTGTGTGACTTGACAGTCCCTTGGAAACCTGCTCTCATTTGAACTCTGCTGTGTGATTCCCAGTGAAGTAAGGCATCGTCAGTTGAACTAGCAGCTCTAATGTTAGGCTGTGTAAGAGCTAGGCATATGACTGAGGACGCTGGCTTTCAGTATTTCTTCAGCATTTTTCTAGTGCATGCTATACAGCAAGACACCAAATCTCAAAAAATGATGAATTTCTAAGGAGGAAAAGGCCAAACACAGGTTGCTAGGCTGGAGTGCATTTCAGGATAGGGAAAAAGAAAACAAATACATCAGCTGCAATAGGAAACCCCTTGCACTACATGGGCATTTTGGAAGCTTGGATGTTTTCTTTCACTGTTTTTGCTCCTTTCATATAGCAAAGAGAGGCAGTGAGAGTGTCTATATCTAATGCTGGGATTTTATGAGGACGTTACCCAGTGAGTGCTGGCTGTGGCCATTCTCCTGGATGCTTGCAGCTTTGCTGGCTGCCCCGGGACAAAAAAAGCCTGGTTCCCAAAGCCCAGGGAACTGCCAAGAAAACAGGGAGGACATGATTTGTTGCTGCTGCTCCTCTTGCTGCAAGCTTGCTAGAAGGCTTTACCCCATTAATCTCACAGCAGCTGTATGTGAGACAGCTGGACTTCATGTACTGATGTTCCTGAATGGATCTTAGGAGATACCTAGCTTCCAGAAACCCTTCAGTGTTGCTGCTCTACTAGGGTAATGCAGATACACCAAGCACTGTCCTGCAGTGCTGAGGACTGTGGTTCCTAAGAAAGGATCTGCCATGGAGCTCTGGGCCAACCGATCCCTGCCGAGTGGTGAAGAGCACCCTGGGTGACAGCACCCATTCCCAGAACACTGGTTGTGTTGGACAATAGAGCAACCATGCTCCTCTGTCCAGGGAAACAGAGAGAGAAAGGCTGTATAAACCACAGAGTTGAAAGAGGAGCTGCCCAGGAGAGCTGCAACAGCACGGGGAGCCAGGACTCATGGAAGCTTGAGGCCATGCAACAGTCTGTGAGCTGGAAAGGGGCTCAGAGAAGAGCTTGGTGATGGTGTCTTCAGGGACAGGAGACTGGGGGAGCGTGAGGGAGTCAGCCTTGGGGTTATGGCCCAAAACGAGGAGTGTCCAGGGAATTCCCTCCCATACCCAAAGACCTCATCTGGCCTAGCCAGGGACAGGAATAAGTCTTCTCCATCCAGCTCCAGGAAGACCCTTTCACCCCCAGTACTGTGTGTGCTGTCCATGTCAAGGCGCTTCACATCCTAGAGGGCACCGAGAAAGTGGAGCTCAGAGCAGGGTAGGAGGAAAGGTTTGGAGGAGAAGGGAAACAAGCCTGATTCAGGAGCTTGTCAGATCTGGAAGGTCTATTGGTGGGGTTCAACAGCAAGATTGTTGCAGCTGGGTCAGTTCAAGGTAGTAAGTAGAGAGATTTCAAGGCAAAAATGATGCATGATGAGAGCACCCTGGGATGGGCTTGGGCAGGTGAACCGGGCATGTTTTCCTCAACATCCACCACTGGATCTGGAGGGAGAGAGGAGTGAGGCAGACCTGAGAAGGTTTTGGAGGTGTTTGTGGGAGCAGGGCTACGGGGGCCTGAGGTAGCCAGCAAAAAGGCTGGACCAAGGCACCCAGGAGACCCCATTGAGCCTGGGCCCACTGCTTGCGGGCAGATGGGTGAGGAGCAGCCTTGTGTCTGGTGGGATGCTCTCTTTGCAAAGAGGAAGCTTTTTGCACCACATGTGATTTCCCTATGTGGCTGTTCCGTTTCTGTGTCTGCACCTCTCCTCCGCTGGGTTACACAGATACCTTTTGCGAGCAGCTCAGACAGAGTCCTACCTAGGGACTTTGTGCCAGCATGGCCCTGCGAGGGCTAGCTCAGGCCTTTCTCCTGGTCCTTGCCCCTCTGCTGCTTGCATGGGGACAGAAGCACCCTGGTCCAAAGAACCAGGGGGGAGCCAAGGAAGCAGGTAAGAGCAGGTTGCGCCTCTTACAGAAAAACTTTTGCTGCTCCTCTACCTGCATATTTGCTATGTGGCTTTACCCTATTCAGCCCACAGCGGCTGTGATGGAGAGGGCTGAAGCTGGTGTCTGCATCAGTCCTGAGACACTCAGGCATCTGTTGGGTTGTGGTGGGGCAAAGCTCTGTTTGGGGTTGGAGAGCAGCAAGCCTCGGTGTGCTGGGAAAGCCTCCACGAGTGTGGGAGATGCAGTGTCCCTCCAGGGAATGGGTAGTGTCCCTGGGAGCAGGAGGTGGCCAGTTCTTGTTGGACGGTGGACAGATGAAGCTGGGGCAATCAAAGCAGCGCTGGCCTTCCTGGGGCAATCTGGGCAGCATCCCTATCATAGAGGAAGGCAGTAGTGGTGTTCAGCAAAGATGTGGGGAGCTGTGAGATAAATCCCTGTGTTAGCTGGGACGCCTGCTTTGTCCTGTAGTCCCCATGGTTGGGGGAGCTGTAGTTCAGTGGGATTGTGCTTTAACAGCATTGTTCTGTTCTTTCTCTGTGCCAGGAGGGCTAGGGGCACCCCTGCATCTCTGCTGGCCTCTTCCTACAGAGACTGTGGGCTTTCCTATGGAGACTGTGCTGTGCCCTGGGGTTGGTGGTACCTGTCAAGGTCCCCATGGGGCACAGCAGGACCCTATGCTCTTTGCACCAGGGGCTAGGGGGCCTGAGGTGTGAGTCATTCTCTCTGCAGGGAAATGGGAGCAGAAGTGGCTTGCCAAGTCACCAGATGGGTCATGAGTCATGTTACCCATCGCTGGTGGCTGAAGGGATGCTGCCCTCCCAGTGATGGGCATCCCTCAGCTATCCAGGGCAGGATGGACCCTGCTCTCCTTGACTCAGCAGCAGCTCCTGCTCCTTTCTCCTGTTCCCCACAGCCCAGACCTGAGAAGCCTTGTCGATAGTCATGGCTTTCCCCTCCTTGGCCTGAGGAGTCCCAGCTGGAGGAGGCTGTGATGGGCTCGGTAGAGGCATTGGCTCTTAGCAGCTGGGGGAGATTTCCTGGATCTGTATCTGCAGAAGAGGCGTGGGGCACCAAAGTGAGGTTCTGACCATTATCCTCTACTGTGCTGCTGGCATCTGCAGCACCGAAGGAGGCCATTGGAGTCTGGATTATGGGTATATTGGCAGAGCTGCAAGCAGGGGCAGAGCTTGCCTCCACCAGCTCCGAGAAGAAAGCCGTGGTGCCAAGCCAAGCCCCTGCAAGGGCTTTTGCTGCAATTGCTGCTCTTCAAGTGTCATCAAGGAATCATGTCTGCCATAGATGCGTGCTTTTTTCACTTTCTCTTTGTGTCCTGTGTCCTTCCTCTTCAGGGATAGCCATCAACATCTGAATGACGCACATGCATTTTCTAGACCAGACCTAGATGACAAAGGCTCGCGTTCCTTGCTGACAGTGCCTCTGGCCCAGTTTTGCTGACCTTTGTTTCTTTCCCCACTGAGGTCTGCACGAGACAGCCTCATGCTCCCATTGCTCCCACTGCTACGTCTCCTCTTGTGCCTTGGCCTTGCCAGCTGTTTCCTCACCAGCTTTTCTTGTTGATTTCTACTCCCTTAGGAGTGTAACCTGCTTGTCACTGTGTCCTCTTGCATTGCAGGTCATTGTCAGCCTCCTGACTGAGCCAGGCTGTGCTCTTACTGCATCCCCCATTCTCCTGTGTAAGGGCGTTTCTGCCTAGCCTTTCAGATTGTAGAGCACCTCGGGGACAGCCAGCTTTTGGGACCTGTTTCCTAACAAGTACCAATAGGAAAAAAATGTTCCTCCCCACAGGTGGAAATCTGCTCTTTGAAGCATGGTTCATTTTCCCACAGCAGAATTCCTCCCTGCTGGCTGGTCAAATGCTTGGTGCTGGGCAGGTAGCCCGGGCTCTGCTGGGGTGGGAAGGATCCTGGATGTCACCCTGGGGCAGGAGCGTGAGGGCATGTGTGCTGCTTCAGGGGGGATTTAATGACAGGAGGGGGAAGGTGCATGCCAGGGATGCCTAACTAGGCTTGGCCTGAGTCAAGGGTTTCAGGTCTGTCAAGGCTTTTGGCTGCTGCAGTGAAGTGTGCGATCTGAGGGCGCTGGGAGGAATCCACCTGCAGGGGGAAGAAGGTTCCATTCTAGACAACACATGTGGGCTCAAAGGATGGATGTGGTGGCCGCTCTCCTTTGTGATGGTGGGCCAGGATGCAGGGTTGAGATGATGGCGTGAAAACCTGCTACCAGATAAGGGAAGTGTGGTGATGCCTCTGTTCCAGTGTAAAAGGGAGGGCAGCCCCACGAGTGCTGGCTGGCAGGAAGCGGGCAGTGGTAGAGACGCATGTAGCTGAAGAGAGGTGTTTCATCCTAATTTAGGGGAGGCCACCTCCTACCGGATGCCTCCTCCAAGGCTCAGTTTGCACTGGGTGAGCAAGTCTGGGTGACACATCTTCTAGTGCAGGACAAGGCAGGCTTATTTTGGGTGAAGTGGCCGGAAAAGGCTGGGTGCATGCCCAGCAGGATGACGGGATGCAGGTGAGTGATGCCAGCAGAGACTCACGGGGGTTTGTGCACTCCCACAGCCCCTGTCTTTGGGGGAGAGAGCACAGGAGAGAGCAGCATCCACCGGGCTGCTGGATCCCTCTGTCTGGGATCCCTTCACAGCGTGTGGGTGGGCAGGAGGGCCTGCGGGTAACCCTTCTGCACTGCACCTGAGGGTGCTCAGGGGGTCAATGTACCTGGGGTCTGGGGCCTCATCCTGGGAGGTGCTCATCTCTGCCACCCCTCTGAAGCGAGGGGGACCAGCAGCCCGCTGGATGGGACCTCCTCAACCCTGAGGTCGCTGCTGGAGCCCAGTGACCCTCAAGGCTCTCCTGCATGGCCTTTGCACACAGGAAGATGTAAAGCTCCCTCTGACTGGGACCCCAAGCTGCAGTTTACCCCGAACGAGAGCAGCTATGCCTTGAACGATTTGGTGCAGCTGAGCTGTGCTGGGGAGTATGTGCCGTCGGTCCCACAGATCAGATGCATTTCCAGCGGGACCCAGACCTCGTGGAACGAGACTGCCACCTGCAAGGGTAAGCACAGCCCCCCACCACCCTGACCCTGGAGTCCCAAGCTGGCGTCAGACAGGGTGACAGTCCAGGAACCAGGGACCTGGATCCCTCGGGGCCAAGGGAGGAGACAAAAGATATGGTAGTGCCATCCGAGCAAGTTAGCAGCTCCTGCAGAGTTTCCTGAGCATTACACAAGGAGAGCCCCCTCCCAACGAGCTTTGTTGAGGGGTCATGTCATGGAAGATGGACATATCACCTTCCCTCTCCCTTCAGTGGCTGGAGGGATCGCTGGGGATTGCTGATACCCCACCACCCACCCCTGACCCACCTCCTCAACACCTCCCACCCCCCAGCATCTCCTGCCATCTCATGGAGAGCTGCAGCTGTGAAGCTGGGAGGAGGAGGAATTGCTGGAGGGGTTCAGCTTCAGGCTTTGGCACTTTGTGCTGCTTCTTTCCCTGGGAAGTTCTCTGGGATTTGGGTGAGCTCCGGTGGGAGAGGCTGTCACTGCTGCACTGCTCACCTGGGTGTGAGGGGGGCCAAGAGAATGGGGTCTCAAGCACCCCATGGGTGGGTGAAACCCAGGGGAGGCTTGTGAGTCCTGCAGATAGGGGTGATGATAAGCCCTGTGCCCCTGAGCAGTGCCTGGGCACACGGAGGGAGTCATGTGCGTATCAGGGTGAGCGGTCAGAGTCATGGGGAGGAGAGAGCTGTCCCAACCCTCCTCCCATCACCTCCCAAAAATACTCCTCACCCAATTTTTCCTCTGACAGAAACATGCCAAAGGCCTGTTTGGTGGGACCCAAGACTCCAGATGGCACCAGACCATGGGAAGTACAAAAAGAATGAAGAAGTGACTCTGAGCTGCAACAACGGTTTCCAGCCATCCTTCACCCATGTCAAATGTGCAGGGGGAGTTCAGCCATTGAATTATTCTGGATCTCTAGACAGACATGTGTGGCTGGGGAGGAAAAGCAGTGATGCTTGGATCCACATTGAGGAGAACATAGTGTGCACGGGTAAGCAGGATGTCAGGAGGTGTCTCTTACGGAGCTCTGTGGTCAAATCCTGTCCCTTTCATCCATCTCTGAGCTTCCACTGTCACCGCTGTGGCCAGGGATGCACTTCTGACGCCTGATTGGGGCCACTCAGATCTCCCTGTTTTTGATGCCTGAGACCATTCCCACATTGAATTCTGGCACATCCTTGTCCATCACCTGCCTGGGCAGGCCCCAGCCCTGGCTGACACTCACCCACAAGGAGATCCCCATCCCAACAAGCCTTGTTGAGGGGTCACATCCTGGCAGACGGATGTGCCACCTTCCCCCTCCCTTCAGGGACTGAAGGGATTGCTGGGGATTGCTGATATCCCATCACATACGCCTGCCCCTCCTTGAAATGTCTCACCCCAACTAACACCCACTTTCACTTCTGCCAGCAACGTGCCAAAGGCCTCACTGGGGACGGGGACTCCAGCTGGCACCAGTCCGGGACAATTACAAGGAGAACGAAGAAGTGATGTTGAACTGCCCTGCAGGTTTTCAGCCTTCTTTCACCCATGTCAAATGTACAGGAAAAGTCCTGTCTATCAGCAATGGGAAACCTGCATACATAGATGCTTGGAGTGGAAGGGACAGCAGAGGCAGATGGATCAACATTCAGCCCATGTTCAGCGTGGTGTGCATCGGTAAGGGAGGCATCAGGAGCTCTCCTGGCTGCCCCGCTCTGCCCTTGCTGAGCAGGAACGGGGGAAGGCAGGCTGTGCGTGCACAGGAGGTCTCAGTGCTGAGGAAGCTTCAGGCTCTCTGCCTGCCTGGGGAAATTGGAGGTGCTGCTGAAGGCGGTGTGGAGGCACCCCCTGAGCCTGCCCTGTGCTTGCCTGAGGGTCTCAACAGGAGGGGGCTGTGGGATCAGGGCGGGGGGAAGTGTCCAGAGCTGCCCGTGCCGGGCCAGGGCAGAGCGCAGGGTGTGCAGGGCTCCAGCCTGCGATTCATGCGTGGGTGGGAGGTTTCTGGTGGAGATGCCAAGCGTGGGGCCCTGCAGATGGGTGCCAGGGCCTGGGGCAGGATCTGGGGCCAGCACTGAGGTGCCCACAGAGGTGCCATGATCCTTGGTGCGCCTCGAGGTGAGTGCACAGGCCTGCTTGTCCCCCTGCCTGCCCATGGAGGTGAGGGAGCCTGGGCGCCTCTGCTGCAGCCCCAGGAATGGGAGTGGAGGGGACTGAAGGGAGCCCCGAGTGCCCAGGGCTGGGTCAACCCTGGCATCGGGGCTGGAAGCTGTGGAGGACGGTGGACCTGCCAACGGGGGTATTCGGTGGAGAGAGAGCCAGAGTCCCAATTTACAGATTTCAGCCTCTGGACTTCTGGAACCTTCTCTCGTCCCAGTTCCAGGAGTGGTAGAGATACCAGTCGAATTAAGAGGGGTGACCAGTCAAACCAAGAGAAGCGATGCCAGGACCCTCCCCCAGGCAGTGGGTGTGTGGGGGGAATAAGAGGCTTCACAGCCCGCGGGGGCAAGGCCTCCCCGTCTCCACAGGGCTCCCTCCCTCACCCTCACTCCAAGGCACCATCCGGTCCTGGGTTCTAGTGAGTGTCGCTCTGCATTGTGGTTTTAGCACCAAGGCTGTTTGAGACATCTCGTTGTTTTGCACTAGCTACAGGTGCGTGGGTGATATTGGTCTCCCTGAAGGCTTCTGGTAAAAGCATGTGCAGAGAAGACGGGGGCTGTGGTGCTGTAGGTCTGACAGGCATTTGTGGCACAGGTGGCCATAAGCATTGAGTCAGGGTCTGGGGGATCACAGGACTCTGCTCCCTGTGTCCTCTCAGCCCGTGGAGGCAGGTCCAAGACCTGGCCACCTCCTTGTGTGCTGGTCTCCCCTCCCAGTCTCTGCTGTGTGCCATCACTGCAACTGCCAGCTTTTGGGCTCAGGCTTTAGTGCCTTCTCAGGAGGACTCCGGATGTTGTCCTCCATGGAGGATGAACAAGGCACCAGGGTCAAATGTTGGTCCATCAGTCTCTGTGCAGGCTTTGAGCTCCAGCTCCTCCTGGCCTTTCCCGGGAGGCCTGGGGAAAGCAGCGCAGGGCCCTTCTTGCCCTCTGCCCCTTGCCAAGGACGCAGTGCGGGAGGGCTGCTCTATATGGTGTCCTGGAGCTCCATCCCTCGCTCTGCTGTGCCAGGGAAGGGGATCCCCTGCTCCATCCCCTGGCATGCCCTGAGGAGCCACCCTGTGCCCTGCTAATGCCTTCCCATCTTGTTGGTGCAGAGAAATGCCAGAAGCCCCAGTGGGATCCCAGGTTTATCTTTGACCAAGAACAGGGAACCTTCAACCCAAATGAAGTGGTAAAGATGAGATGCCCTGAGGGGTACTGGCCTCCCCCCATGGAGATCAAATGTGTGAAGCTGAACTCAAGGGAAGGCTCCACAATTCCTCGCAGCAGCTGGATTGTGAGGAACAGCACAGGCCACTGGCACCCTGTGGAGGGGAACATAACCTGTGTGGGTAAGTGAGTGAACTAGCCACTCTCCCAGTGCTCTCAGTCTGTTCTCCCCAGGCAGGGAGTGCAGTGCTGCATGTGTCCCACAGTGTCAGTGCCCTGTGCTCGGGGTGGTCAGGGCATGGCATGGGCATTCACTCCAGAGAGAACTGCTGCTGATGCATCCCAGGTTTGTGTCCACAGTGTTGGCAGCTGGGGCACTCAGCACAGCGCTGAGGGGGACAAATCCTTGCTGCTGCATGTAGGGCACCAGGCAGTGTGCCCAGACCAGCCAGATGGGTCTGCCTGGAGAAGAGCACGATAGCTCAGGAGCAGGAGGGCAGGGCTGTGCTCTGGCTGCTGGATTTGTTGGCTAAGTCATTGCTGGTATGAAAGAGACCTGTCACCAGATCAGTTGCTAGCCCCAGGGTGGCAGGTGCAGAGAGGCCACAGGTACTGGCTCTTATGCTCCCACAGTCACTGCAGCACCCAGTGTAGCCCTGGGAATGGTCCAGGGCAGGAGGAAGGTGCAGGCAGTTCCTGAGTGTAGTCTGGGAGAAAGTGGGATGGCCTCATCCACACTGTGCTGGGGACAGGCTAGTGAGGGAACGGTATGGATGATGGAGGCCAGCTGCAAGGCTGGGAGGGGAAGGGAATGAAGTGACCCTCTTGCAATGTTTCTTCCACAGATGTCCTCCAGGTTGTCCCTGGGACCTTGGACATTTCCAGCACCAGCATCAAGCTGAACTGGACCTGCAGGCTCCCTGACGCCTGCCAGAACATTTGGGCCAGGTGCCGGCTGGAAGGGCATTCGTCCCCTCCCTGTGAAGCTGAAGAGGTGAAAGGAGAGGAGATGCTACATGGCCAGGAGGGAACATTCACCTGTCCCCCTCTGCAGCCCTTCACTGTCTACAGTGTCACCATCTCACTGCCGCCCAACACGATCTTGTACACGCGGCTCCTCAGGACGAAGGAAACGGGTATGTTTACATGAAATGTAAAGGCGCCCTTTGCCAGGCAGCTAAACTGGAGCATCCGCTCCCTACAGTGATGGTCCTGGGATCGAGGTTGTTTGGAGCCTGTGGGGCACTGGGGAAGGGGCTGTGCAGGGCCCTGGAGCACAGCACATCCCCTCCTCACTCTCCCTCACCACACCGTTGCTGCTGCTGCAGCACACGCAGCCTTTGTGGGGGACAAATCCTCACTGGCCTCATGCGTGACTCATCCTCCTGTGCTTCCAGTGCCGGACAAACCGGAGAAGCTGTGGTTGGATTCCAGCACAGGGTCCCTCAGGTGGAAGGCGCTGCCCTCCTGCAAAGGGGAAATCATCGGATACCAGGTACCAGGGCACCACAGACTCCCCGCAGTCCCCCTCACCTTGCCAGGCGCCTCCCTGCTTGGAGCACTGTGCGCATAGGCAAGGAGAGGCATGAGCCCTCCTTGGCCAGGCCCCACCAGCTCTCCACTGCTGGTGTTTCTGGTGGGGTCAGCTCCCCTCCTGTCCCCAGCCAGCAGTAGCAGCCCCTCTCACAGAGCTGCCCAGCGCAGGAGCAGGAGCTTGGTGCTGCTCCCCACCAACTCCCTGTCCTGCCTCTAGCTGAACATCACGGCCAGGAGAGCGCAGGATGGCAGCTTCCTTGAGTTCAAGCAGGTGTCGCTGAACCAGTCTGTCACTCAGTACACGCCACCTCATCAGGCGCCTGGAAGCAAATACACGGTGACAGTGCAGGGCCTCACGGCGGCTGGTGCTGGAGCTGCGTCGCTGCTGGAATTTCAAAGCTACGTCTCGGGTAATGATTGTCGTGCCCTGTGTCTGGCTGAGGTGGCCTCCCTGGGAGCGACCAGCGCCAAGGTCGGGGCCATTGCTGGCGCACGGTCCAGGCTGTGGCACCCACTCCTGGCTGTGCATTAGTTGCAGGACAGCTGCTGGGCCCGTGGCCTGGGTCGGCGGTCACGGTGGTGGTTGCGCTGTCGCTGCTGGTCCCCTTATCTGCGGGGATCCTGTGGTTTGTGCTGTCCAGGTGAGTAGTGTGGAGACTTGGAGTCGCTGCTGTGCCTCAGGCCATGCTGTGCTGTGGGGTGGCTGGGGATGGAGAGGGGGTTCCCCCAGCTGCTGCCACCCTTCTGCAGGCGCGGCAGATGCAGCTGGCTGGTCCTACCATAGGTCAGCTGTAGGGCTCCTGGCTGGGCTCACAAGCACGTTCCACGGGGCTGGCGCAGGGACCGTGTGTGCTAAGAGACCTCCTCCCTTGTTGCTGCCGCTGCCGCTGCTGTCCCCTGGGGTGTTGATGGGCAATGCCCGCCAGCTCGCGAGGGCCCAGAGGGAGGGTGTGCGGAGCCCTCCACGCCGCTGCGGCTGGGTT